ATCGAGCTCCTGACGTGAATTCACTGGAAACAATCTGTAAATGAGGAGCCAAAATCGATTTAACGCAATCGGTATTCCACGTACAATCAAGACAAAATAACCGCTACAAGTTGTTTGGCAGTGAAAACGTCTCGTAACTGTTGCAGTAATAAATTCCGCACGCCAGGTTCCACGGAAAAAAACGACCAGAAGGAGTTCGCCACAGAATGACAACGAGCGATTTCGTGCATTCCGACTTGCATGCAGACGAGAAACCAGGTTGATTGGTCTCAATGTGACAAGCGGTTCGTTTGGAGCCGGACAGGCGATCTGTTGCTCTACGCCGCATTCGACGTGTCCAACATGCTCTCACGAATCTGGGGCCACAGAGTGTTTCAGCAATAGGCTCGCGTGTGTGCGTGAGTCGCCGATTGTGTTTGCGTGTGTGTGTGTGTGTGTGTGTGTGTGTGTGTGTGTTCGTGTACACTGATTTCTGACCGAGATCATGTGGCCGAACGCGAGTGAACGAACTCGCAGATAGTGTGGGCACGTGCGAAAGAGTATTGCACAAGCAGGTGCGATTGCTCAGTCGGCTGATGCACAGGCGAGTACACATACCAACTGGAACGCGTGTGCGAGTAGTGTGATCCGGTTTGGATAAGAACGGATGCGTATGCGGTTGTGCGTGATGCGTGATGCGCCGGTTTCGGGTGCACACGCGAGCAAACGGTCCGCGGTTCGGGGCGCATATCTGTGCATTCTGTGTGTTTCCTGTTCTCCTGTTGTCCGTGTGTTTGGAGCAAAACGATGCGCTCAGGGACGCGCAAAACGGCCGCAACACCCGGTATTCCCAGCCGGTCACCCATGCAAGTACTAACCGGGCCCAACGTTGCTTAACTTCGGTGATCGGACGAGAACCGGTGTTTCCAACGTGGTATGGTCGCGGCCAACCACCACGGCACGCGCATTGCATTCAAACCGAACCGAAACGAAACGAAACGAAACGAAACGAAACGAAACGAACGAAACGAACCGAACCGAACCGGCACAGACCGCGCACGCGAGCACCCAATTCACACAAACACTGGCACAAACACCAGAACCATCACAGACACTGCAAACACTCAACTGAACAACCAAACCCCGCATCACACTGGTCACATCGACCGGATCAAACAATTCAGACATCAGCTCAACACAACGCACCCTGTCATAGTTGACCTCACTCGCACCATCCCAACTGGTCACTGGGCCCAATCTCCTGTCTGTTTGTACTAGTGGACCGTACTGAATGCGATGCAATAAGCACAGGCGACCAGTTGATCGTCAGTTGGTCAACAAGCCTGTGACAACCAAGCCAGTCAGCAGGCCGTGGAGATCGTGCCTACGTGCAGGCAGTCAGGCAGACACGAGATAGAGAGACAGACAGGGAGCAGGCAGTAGGTCAGGCATTTGGGCTCGCGTGCGGTCAGGCAACCAGGTTGATTGATCTCAATGTGACAAGCGGTTCGTTTGGAGCCGGACAGGCGATCTGTTGCTCTACGCCGCATTCGACGTGTCCAACATGCTCTCACGAATCTGGGGCCACAGAGTGTTTCAGCAATAGGCTCGCGTGTGTGCGTGAGTCCGCCGATTGTGTATGCGTGTGTGTGTGTGTGTGTTTGTGTACACTGATTTCTGACCGAGATCATGTGGCCGAACGCGAGTGAACGAACTCGCAGATAGTGTGGGCACGTGCGAAAGAGTATTGCACAAGCAGTGCGATTGCTCAGTCGGCTGATGCACAGGGCGAGTACACATACCAACTGGAACGCGTGTGCGAGTAGTGTGATCCGGTTTGGATAAGAACGATTGCCCGTCACTCGCGGTTGTGGGCGTGATGCGTGATGCGCGTTTCGGTGCACACTAGCGAGGCAAACGAGTCCGACGGTCGGGGCGCATATCGGTGGCATTCTGTGTGGTTTCCTGTTCTCCTGTTGTCGCGTCGTGTTTGGAGGCAACGATGCGCTCAGGGACGCGCAAAACGGCCGCAACACCCGGTATTCCCAGCCGGTCACCCATGCAAGTACTAACCGGGCCCAACGTTGCTTAACTTCGGTGATCGGACGAGAACCGGTGTTTCCAACGTGGTATGGTCGCGGCCAACCACCACGGCACGCGCATTGCATTCAAACAGAACCGAAACGAAACGAAACGAAACGAAACGAACCGAACCGAACCGAACCGGCACAGACCGCGCACGCGAGCACCCAATTCACACAAACACTGGCACAAACACCAGAACCATCACAGACACTGCAAACACTCAACTGAACAACCAAACCCCGCATCACACTGGTCACATCGACCGGATCAAACAATTCAGACATCAGCTCAACAACACAACGCACCCTGTCATAGTTGACCTCACTCGCACCATCCCAACTGGTCACTGGGCCCAATCTCCTGTCTGTTTGTACTAGTGGACCGTACTGAATGCGATGCAATAAGCACAGGCGACCAGTTGATCGTCAGTTGGTCAACAAGCCTGTGACAACCAAGCCAGTCAGCAGGCCGTGGAGATCGTGCCTACGTGCAGGCAGTCAGGCAGACACGAGATAGAGAGACAGACAGGGAGCAGGCAGTAGGTCAGGCATTTGGGCTCGCGTGCGGTCAGGCAACCAGGTTGATTGATCTCAATGTGACAAGCGGTTCGTTTGGAGCCGGACAGGCGATCTGTTGCTCTACGCCGCATTCGACGTGTCCAACATGCTCTCACGAATCTGGGGCCACAGAGTGTTTCAGCAATAGGCTCGCGTGTGTTAGTGCGTGAGTCGCCGATAAAATGTGTTTGCGCGTGTGTGTGTGTGTGTGTGTGTGTGTTCGTGTACACTGATTTCTGACCGAGATCATGTGGCCGAACGCGAGTGAACGAACTGGCAGATAGTGTGGGCACGTGCGAAAGAGTATTGCACAAGCGGTGCGATTGCTCAGTCGGCTGATCGACACAGGCGAGTACACATACCAACTGGAACGCGTGTGCGAGTAGTGTGATCCGGTTTGGATAAGAACGGATGCGTATGCGGTTGTGCGTGATGCGTGATGCGGGGCCAGGATTTCGGGTGCACACGCGAGCAAACGGTCCGCGGTTCGGGGCGCATATCTGTGCATTCTGTGTGTATCCTGTTCTCCTGTTGTCCGTGTGTTTCGAGCAAAACGATGCGCTCAGGGACGCGCAAAACGGCCGCAACACCCGGTATTCCCAGCCGGTCACCCATGCAAGTACTAACCGGGCCCAACGTTGCTTAACTTCGGTGATCGGACGAGAACCGGTGTTTCCAACGTGGTATGGTCGCGGCCAACCACCACGGCACGCGCATTGCATTCAAACAGAACCGAAACGAAACGAAACGAAACGAAACGAAACGAAACGAAACGAAACGAACCGAAGGGAACCGGCACAGACCGCGCACGCGAGCACCCAATTCACACAAACACTGGCACAAACACCAGAACCATCACAGACACTGCAAACACTCAACTGAACAACCAAACCCCGCATCACACTGGTCACATCGACCGGATCAAACAATTCAGACATCAGCTCAACACAACGCACCCTGTCATAGTTGACCTCACTCGCACCATCCCAACTGGTCACTGGGCCCAATCTCCTGTCTGTTTGTACTAGTGGACCGTACTGAATGCGATGCAATAAGCACAGGCGACCAGTTGATCGTCAGTTGGTCAACAAGCCTGTGACAACCAAGCCAGTCAGCAGGCCGTGGAGATCGTGCCTACGTGCAGGCAGTCAGGCAGACACGAGATAGAGAGACAGACAGGGAGCAGGCAGTAGGTCAGGCATTTGGGCTCGCGTGCGGTCAGGCAACCAGGTTGATTGGTCTCAATGTGACAAGCGGTTCGTTTGGAGCCGGACAGGCGATCTGTTGCTCTACGCCGCATTCGACGTGTCCAACATGCTCTCACGAATCTGGGGCCACAGAGTGTTTCAGCAATAGGCTCGCGTGTGTGCGTGAGTCGCCGATTGGTTGTTTGCGCGTGTGTGTGTGTGTGTGTGTGTGTGTTCGTGTACACTGATTTCTGACCGAGATCATGTGGCCGAACGCGAGTGAACGAACTGGCAGATAGTGTGGGCACGTGCGAAAGAGTATTGCACAAGCGGTGCGATTGCTCAGTCGGCTGATGCACAGGCGAGTACACATACCAACTGGAACGCGTGTGCGAGTAGTGTGATCCGGTTTGGATAAGAACGGATGCGTATGCGGTTGTGCGTGATGCGTGATGCGCCGGTTTCGGGTGCACACGCGAGCAAACGGTCCGCGGTTCGGGGCGCATATCTGTGCATTCTGTGTGTTCCTGTTCTCCTGTTGTCCGTGTGTTTGGAGCAAAACGATGCGCTCAGGGACGCGCAAAACGGCCGCAACACCCGGTATTCCCAGCCGGTCACCCATGCAAGTACTAACCGGGCCCAACGTTGCTTAACTTCGGTGATCGGACGAGAACCGGTGTTTCCAACGTGGTATGGTCGCGGCCAACCACCACGGCACGCGCATTGCATTCAAACCGAACCGAAACGAAACGAAACGAAACGAAACGAACCGAACCGAACCGAACCGAACCGAGCCGCACGATCCGCGCTACCGCGAGCACCCAATTCACACAAACAAACACTGGCACAAACACCAGAACCATCACAGACACTGCAAACACTCAACTGAACAACCAAACCCCGCATCACACTGGTCACATCGACCGGATCAAACAATTCAGACATCAGCTCAACACAACGCACCCTGTCATAGTTGACCTCACTCGCACCATCCCAACTGGTCACTGGGCCCAATCTCCTGTCTGTTTGTACTAGTGGACCGTACTGAATGCGATGCAATAAGCACAGGCGACCAGTTGATCGTCAGTTGGTCAACAAGCCTGTGACAACCAAGCCAGTCAGCAGGCCGTGGAGATCGTGCCTACGTGCAGGCAGTCAGGCAGACACGAGATAGAGAGACAGACAGGGAGCAGGCAGTAGGTCAGGCATTTGGGCTCGCGTGCGGTCAGGCAACCAGGTTGATTGATCTCAATGTGACAAGCGGTTCGTTTGGAGCCGGACAGGCGATCTGTTGCTCTACGCCGCATTCGACGTGTCCAACATGCTCTCACGAATCTGGGGCCACAGAGTGTTTCAGCAATAGGCTCGCGTGTGTGCGTGAGTCGCCGATTGTGTTGCGTGGTGGGTGGTGTTGTGTGTGTGTGTGTTCGTGTACACTGATTTCTGACCGAGATCATGTGGCCGAACGCGAGTGAACGAACTCGCAGATAGTGTGGGCACGTGCGAAAGAGTATTGCACAAGCAGTGCGATTGCTCAGTCGGCTGATGCACAGGCGAGTACACATACCAACTGGAACGCGTGTGCGAGTAGTGTGATCCGGTTTGGATAAGAACGGATGCGTATGCGGTTGTGCGTGATGCGTGATGCGCCGGTTTCGGGTGCACACGCGAGCAAACGGTCCGCGGTTCGGGGCGCATATCTGTGCATTCTGTGTGTTCCTGTTCTCCTGTTGTCCGTGTGTTTGGAGCAAAACGATGCGCTCAGGGACGCGCAAAACGGCCGCAACACCCGGTATTCCCAGCCGGTCACCCATGCAAGTACTAACCGGGCCCAACGTTGCTTAACTTCTGTCTTTTATGAACTTACGCTTTACGTTCATTAATGTTTTGCCACATGAATGACATTTCAGTTTCGACCACCAAAGAATTAGTCTTGAACGGTTCAGTGACAATATTGGTAGCTCTTACGGCCATTATCGCGATGCTAGTTCCTAGGTTCGTACGCCCAAGGTTTTCCCAGCCTTACGTTAACGCGGAACGGAAGTCGTAGTGAGAAGACGGTGAATCGTTCACAAGCAGACTTCAACGCAACAGTTAAAGGCGCTAGGGAGTTGG